CATGCCTATATCTTGCAATCTGAGCAGCTACTCTGAAGATAACAACACGTAATATATTAACTATTGTTAATCTCCTATTATCTTGTTTTGAAATTGTGTATTGTTTTTGTTTTTTTCTCTTTAAAATAAACACTATGCATGTGGCACTGTGTTAACAGGGGTGAAGCACTAAGCATGATGGGGACCCCCACTGTTTGATTAATTATGTACCACAGGGTTTCAACCTACAACAAACTCCACAGTCCGTAAACTGTTGGGGCCAGACATTGACAAAAGCGCTTCCTATGAGTCTTTAGTAAAATGGGATGACTTTTTTTTACATTGAACCATTTTGTGCTTTATTACCCAAAACAATCATTTATAGTTGCGGGGGTGGGGGACTGAACCCAGGACCGTCCCACAGAACTACATCTGAAACCCCCTTTTTTTTTTTTTTGAGACAGGATCTCGCCCCGCTGAATCACTAAGCTGTCCAAGCTTGGCAGGAATTTGCGAGTGTCCTGTCTCAGCCTCCCGAAGTGCTGGGATTACAGGCTCGCCGCCACGCCCACCTCCGCGAAGGTCCCTTTAAAATGTGCCCGTCTAAAAAATAAATAAATAAATAAATAAAATGTGCCCGTCTAAAGAGTCCTTAGCTTGGGCTCATTTTTCCACAGTATCCCGCCGCAGCAGCGTCTTCCCGGCTCCAGGGACCGCGGCGGCTTCGTCCCGGTTCTGCGCACCCGCAGGCCCTTCCTCCGCCTCTGCTCGCCGAGCGGCCCACGCGGGCCCCGCGTCGCCGTGGGCGGGAGGCGCAGTCACTCACCTCCGCCCGGCCGCGGCGGGCGCTGCGCAGGTGGGGCGCGGACGGCGGCGGGGGCCCGCGATCCAGAAGGATCTAGAATTGTCCGGCCAGCGGGAAGCGGAGGGAGGCGCTGTCGAGAGCGGGGAGAAGGGCAGCGGTGCCAGAGGCCGCAGGGTGCCGGAGCCGGGGAGCGGGCAGCCGGTGGGCGGGAGGAGCCGGGCGCTCAGAGCGCGCCGAGCACCCGGCCCCCACCGGGTCACCCGCTCTAGAAACTTCTGCGCCCGCCCCGCCGCCCGCG